TATATTTAGAACACGTAGTTATCTTGATCTTAATCAGAAATGAATTTTCAATGGCATTTTTACGTTGATGTTAACCATTTTATCACGTCACATTAGAACAGAACTTATTGGGTTTTTGTTTAATTTGTTCTAGCCCTATAAATGCATTGAATATTATCCATTTCACATAACATGCAATAAAAAAAAAAATCTTAAGTTCAGCTGTAATTTCAAGAGTGGCAACTACATGTTTTAGTTAATTCATTCATTAAGTGAAAATGTACAATCAATTATGAAATATCATTTAAACTAGTCATGTCCCTTAACAATACATGGGTTTCTTGCAAGATGGAACCCACGAAGATTTACGATGAAGTAGCAGCAATGTCGACATAATGGAGTTCCTATACATATATTTAAGACAAAAAAAACTTTTGTAAAGGGTTCCCCTACCTTCCCAAATTGTATGCCTCAAAATGCTTCCCTCAAGTTTTTATTTGCAGATTTGGAAGTGACTTGTGAGAAAATTACAAGTTATATTAATTGTACCAAAAAAATACATAAGATTAGCATTCTCACACCTATCCGTCCTTTGTTCCACAAGAAGGAAACGCTTAACACACATATATTTTAGTTTGACCAAATACATATTTCAGTACATTTTTCTAGACTCACTTTCATCAGTCCTGCTTATTTTCCATAAAAGAGGGACGAAAGATACCAGAAGGACAGTCAAACTCATGGATTGAAAACAAACCGACAACGCCATGGCCAAAAATAAAAAGACAAACAGACAAATAATAGTACAGATGACACAACATAGAAAACTAAAGACTAAGCAACACGAACCCCATAAATATTCATATATGGATAAAATTTAATGTAATGTCCATTTATGAATTAAGTGTTAGATTTTTTATTGCAGCGAACTTATCAAAAGTGAAATCTTTTGTTGACTGATGCAGGATTTTCTAATATTCCATCCTCAAATTTTAGATAAGTGTTTGTCGAAGTGTTCAAACATGTTAAAAAAAACAAAAACAATCTCGTGTTTATTTGAAAGAAATTCATTAGCTTCCTTCTGTATTGTTCAGAGGTATCTTTGTGAATTAAAACAAACGCATGTTATCTACTAAAAATCCCCTTCATTCTACGGATGAGTATTGCTCAGAGGCTTTCTTTGTGAAATTAAAACGGTGCAGGTTATCGTCAAGCGTAATTTATAATTCAAATCATACCCTTAAATACCCATTATTCTGCAGTAGCGTATTTTCAAAAAAGCAGAAAAGGTGAGGGCGGATGCATAACTACATGCATCTTCAAGACTTCATCTCAGCAGTTGCAGCGGATTATCGCAAGATCTGTGCTAGAGTTTGTGACGTCCTAATCAATTATATTTGATAGAAACATAATCCTGTCGTAATTAAATGCGTATTAAGCTTTCTCATTAGACTTACATCGGTAATTGATTCCCAAGGTCGGACAGGTACATAACATATACATGTATATTGATAGTATCACACATACGTGTATCATGGTATTCTGAATATATGTCTTACTATCCTCTTTGCACTTCTAAATTGTTGGAGGTAGACTAAGTAGGTAACTGTATTTGATTTGAAAGTGTTTCGCAGTCAACAAGAAATTCTTACATTAAAACAAATGTTTTATTCTCCTCTTTACACTACTATATTGTTTGGGATAGACCAGGAAGATTTATGTATTTGATTTAAAAGTGTTTCGCTGAAAACAAGACACTCTTAAAGCATAAACATATTTTTAATATAAACCTATACCAATCGCAGGGTGCACGACTCGTGTTTTTTTTCTTTTTCTTTTTAAACAAACATAAACAAAAAACAACCTTCTCTAGGTATGATCGAGAGCAAAGTTTATTTAGCAATCTGACTACATGTACATTTGTTCAGTGGCAACTATTTCATGCATATTTATGTCAAGAACAAACTATAAGTGTTAAATTCAATAGGTAGGGTATGCAAAGCGAATCGAATGGGATGATGTTGCCAAATGAACTAAAGAGCAACAAAAACCTTGAATCTTATATTTTGGTGTTAAAGATTATCTGTCAAAAAAGGAAAGCAACGATTTTAATAGCAAATTTTTGTTTTATTGATTGGCTTTTATATTCTAGTCATTGTCATTGTCATCGTAAATTTTTAATTTTAGCATAATTAGTATAAAGCCTGCCAAAATCGTGATATCTTATAACTATATTTAATATTTTTAAGAATGTAACATAAAGAGACCCCATTGGAAATAATGTCTGCTATTGTTTTACATTACTTTTGTAATGTTTTATGTTGATATTTGATCAAATAAATCTATTTATGAAGTTTAGCCTGCCTCTGGAAAATGTTGGTATTTTAGAATGGTGGAAGCAATTTTGTCATACGACGGTACTAACAGACATCTCATAGAGTTGTTGCAAAGTTTCTATACGTACAAGCATATTGGTACTTCCCCTTCTCGAGACATCAGAATGACCGCCCCCATTATGGCTGGACGTGGGTGCGTATTTATTTAGGGGGTCATCCTGCAATATGTCCTTATTTTAAAGTAACTCATAATAAATACAAGATATTCAATTACACATAATGGCTTTGTGGTGTACACGAATAAGAACCAGCTAATTGTAAAGACTTCGAAAAGGAGTTAGAGGAAGTTTTTTTGCCACCAAGCTTTGATTTTGCTAATAAATGCATCTGGGGTATATTGGGTATCTTGAACGGATTTTTTACTCCAGCAAATATTGTGACACAGGAGAAGCTTTCCAGTCGCTTTGAAATGCAACTATGATTGGTTTTTTCACGATTATTGTTTAAAAATTCTATTCATGTATAACACGTAATAAATTTCGTGTCCCCGAATGTTTTTTCTTGATTTACCTTCACCAGGAATATACAAACTTAAACCTAAAGTGAGGGATGTATTAATACGTAGGTCTACACGTTACGAGCAATATGTCCAAAAGGGACCTAATAGGAATATAGCCAAATTCATCTAAAAGATGTATAAATAATTTTTTTTCTTGATTTTTGTCTTAAAAGATCATATTTTAAAAAATCAGCATTGACTTAACAGCTTTTATTCAAAGTTTCCATATTGTCTTTTTAGCTTTTATTCAGTTTCCACATTGTCTTAAAAGCTCTAATTCAAAGTTTGCACATTGTTTTTAAAGATTTTATTCGAAGTTACCACTATGTCTTAAAATCTTTGATTCAAAATTTCCACTATGTCTTAAAATCTTTTATTCAAAGTGTCCGCTATGTCTTAAAAGCTTTTATTCAAAGTTTCCACATTCTCGCAGCAAGGTATACAGAAAATTTACATTGTCGTCTGTTTATATGTTTATCGGTTCTATTGTTTGCTTAGGACATCTTGTTTTCATTAATAATCAAGTAGTACTTTGATAATTACCTGTCATTAAGTACTTAGTTTATCGCTGCTAACATTCTTTTTCATCCTGATTGGTCCTTTGATGATAAAGCGATCAAAGGTCAATTAAGATCACCCCCTTCGATAAGCTGGAAGTTGTTGCAAGTGTGTTTGATACAGTCTGACAAACCTTTAAGAATGGTTTGACATAAGAGCAACTGAACCTGCTTCTAGATAAGGAAACACATAATACTTAACAGATAACGTCGTCTACTATAATTATAAAATGACATTCAACCGAAAGTGGCTAGGTAATTATACATCGTACACATCCAACCGATCAACCACAGACAGCTTAAGGATGTTCGCTACTCTGTTTCAAAATAACAAGGATTTTATAAAATTCTCAAAAATGACTTTTAAAACTATATGCAATAAAAGAGGGACGAAAGATACCAGAGGGACAGTCAAACTCATAGATCGAAAACAAACTGACAAAGCCATGGCCAAAAATAAAAAGACAAACAGATAAATAATAGTACAGATGACACAACATAGAAAACTAAATACTAAGCAACACGAACCCCACCAAAAACTGGGGGTGATCTCAGGTGCTCCGGAAGGGTAAACAGATCCTGCTTCACATGTGGCACCCGTCGTGTTGCTTATGTTATTACAAATTATGAAAAGAAAAGTATGGGTCAGTGGGCAAAATTTTTATTGGCACTACATGGCACTACATGGATAAAACTAGAGGATTCAAAATATCTGGCAAAACATTCAAAAACGAGAGGAGCGAACATCCTTAAATCGGAGAAGTCCATGTGACCACACCATGTGACCATGTATCTATTCCCCAGTCAATCCAAGGAGACTTGATTAATAGGAAGATTTAATGAGAAGGACAATGGTAATCAAACACACTCTTGGCAACTATTCATATTTAAAAAGAATATCTCCAAATAGGTTTCTGTCAAAGATCAATCAAAGAAATCTATGAATTTTTGTTCCGGTGGAAAATAACGGAAATCATAGATTATCACAAATAAAGAAGCTAGGGCGTACTTTAGAAGAGACAATCATGATATTTTTCTCCAAAATGTACAGAAAACGACCGAAAATCAGTGTCCAAGAAAATTTCGGGTGTCCCTTGAAACGAACAATTGCACTGAAGTAATAAGTAATAAGAAATTAAGTATACGCACATTTCTCGTCTTGAACTTCTATTAGCAAAGCTCGACCGCTCGTCAACAATTAAGATAATATAGGGAAATAACATTTCGACATAACTTGTCAGCCTTTCACCTGTCGGGAGTCTTTGAAATAAGTACGTGAAATTTTAAAATATAAGACGAATTGGAAAAGATATTTTTTTCCTAAGACCAACTCATTTCGGTCTAATCATGAGGTTAGATCATTAAATACAAATCTTTTTATTTTTATTTTAGATTCTTATGAAATCGTTTATTAAATACATTTGTTTTTTTTTTTAATAATCTTTCGTCTCGACTCTGGAAGTGCAGTCCTACTTTTGTCGGAATTTAATAATGTTCATTATACTTTTAAGAATCACTAAAGTGGAAAAACTATATTCTTATTCTTTTCATTCATTTTTTTATTTCTAGGCTGACTTCTCGGGATCCAATAATTTCTTTTTTATCAAACTGGGAACAAAATAGTATTGAAGAGAGAACGAATATGATAGAGAAAGACAAACTCTGTGAAATGTTAAACTTACATAAGAAGCAGAAAAGAATGTGTCGGCGAGGTACCGGTATTGCTGAAGCTCTGCTTGAAGCCATTAGAATATCTGTGATAGAATGCCATTATCAGTTCCGGTATGAAAGATGGAATTGTTCTCTAGCTGATCCATACAGACAGAAGATTCTACAGAAAGGTATTTTTTTATAAGGTTAAACTCTTTCAGTTATCGCTTATTAAAGTAGGCTACGCTGATCCATTTAATTTTTTCTGTGTCCAAGCAGGTACTACTCAATTTTTGTGGTTTCTAACGTCATATTTTTAAATTTGTCTGTTTTTTTTTACCATCATGCCATTGGCATGTTTAATGACATGTTTTCAGTTTAAGAAGCATTGATTCCGTCCCCATTCCGATCGGCACTGTCTGCTTATTAATGCATCCCGCACAGCCAAAGGGACGCCTCTTCAGCATGGATTGGAATTTATAGTTTTTTGTAATCATCTATTCTTTTGTCTCTTTCAACAACAAATCATGACCTCGATTATCTAAATGTCTGATCTTTATTGTGTGTCAGAAAATAGTACAGAAATGTGCGTAGTACCAAATGAAATTGAGATTTCCTGTTTTGGACAATTGCTCCTATTTGTATTTACATTGTTGTTTGAATGTACAACAGAAAGAACACTGTTAACCAATCACGAATGTTGACATGATCCTTCTGAGTGATTTTGGCGTATGTTAGCACTAATCCTTCAATTTTGATGCATATGCTTTCTAATGTGAAGGAAAAACAAGACAGTTTCCTCATTATTTTTTGTACATTTTGTAAATGTCTGTATTGGGCAACTCTTGTAAATTTTGAAATGTTCATTAGATTAACTATTAAAAAAAAGTTTGGTTCTTAATAGTCTCTGACAAACTGACCACACATCACATCGCTTTTTAATTGTTGTTTTCCTCAAATTTCAACTCTTTTTTGAAACTATCTTAAGAATTGACACTTTTACATCTTACGAAATCTTAAATGCCATGAAAGTATTCTAATTGGCATAATATGTCTTGTAAACCGCGATTACCGCAAGTTTATCAAAGAGTGTAGAAATTTTAAATACAACATCATCACTTTGCATGTTAGAATCAATTGTTTTCACAATAAATCTTCACTCAGACAAGATAAGATATACAGGTACAACAAATATTGAGAATTCTGCCAATACCCTCAAGTCTTTAAGTAAGTATCAATTAAAGATGCCATTTAACAAAGCATCAGATATTGATATAGAGAGCAGACGATAATAAGTAAAGATGAAGACAGATTTTGACCCCAGTTTACAGAAAACAAGTCCAATACCTTCCCCTTCCTTGATAACCCGAATAATGCAGTCGTTATATTCCGCATCTCTATGGTGGCTACATTCAAGTAGGAGAGATCGATTACGGAGAGGGCCTGAATTATTCGGGTCTTTGTAAATCTGCTATTTTTAATGCAATATATATCTTAAAAGAAATTGTATTTGCAATATTTTCAAAGGGACATCAAACGTTGTTTTTCTACGTAATATTTGATGAATCCGAAATATGTTTGGGTACAAAGAGATATACCGATAGTTTCCCCTGAATTATTTTCACACCAGGACAGTTTTCTGAAAGTCGGTCCTTCATTCTTTGCTTATAATTTAATGTTTTAAGTTATAGATAGTGCATATTTTATGGCTTTTCTTGTCGTATAACACACCGAGGGGTATTTGATTATCCAAAATATGTACAAGAAGGACATTCTTTAGCAAAACAAAAGTTCTATGATATTGTCTTTCAAATAAGATTTTATTAATTTTGGTTGAAGATATCTTTAATTGATGCAAAATTTTGCACACACAAAAAAAACCAATGTGAAATTGTATATTGTCTTCACAAGTAATATGCAGGGCTGAAAACAGTTCTAAATCAGTTGATTTAATCGAATAGTGTAACATTGATGAAATGATTTAAAAGTATGTTTTAAAGAACTTGATATTCCAATTCAAGGAGGTTTTTACTTTTTTTATATTGACCATGTGAATGAAACAAATACAGAAGAAATTGATACTGTCTCATGTTTTAAAGTTATATTTAGGAAGTGAGTAAAATGATCCTATTTGTTCTCTTCTTGTGCAATGTACGTGACAGTATTACCTTTCACGGTTGCTTTTAGAAATCACGACCGTGACTGCAAATATCAGATTAAGTATATAAATATTAAAGAAATCAAAGCCTGCATTATCCAAATATTTTGGAGAAAGAAAGAGAAAGAAACTTGACAAGTCTGTCTTATGTTTTAAAAGTCACCCGGATAACACGAGGAATGTTTCCACCGATAACAAGAAATAATGTTTACCATGCAGGTTAACAAGAGAGAATGTTGACCTTTATAACAAGATAGAATTTTCCCTCGATAACAAGAAATAATGCTTACCATGCAGGTTAACCAGATATAATGTCTACCCGGATAACAAGAGAGAATGTTTACCCGGATAAAAAAAATTCTACCCAGATAACGAGAGAGAATGTTTACAAGGATAACAAGAGATAATGTTTACCCGGATAACAAGAGAGAATGTTACCCGGATAACAAGATGAATATTTCCCTTGAAAACAAGAGATAATGTTTACCATGCAGGTTAACAAGAGAGAATGTTGACCTTTATAACAAGAGAGAATGTTTACCTAGATAGATAAATACTACCCAGACAACGAGAGAGAATGTTTACAAGGATAACAAGAGGGAGTGTTCACCCTAATAACAAGATTGAATGTTTACTAAAATGACAAGATAGAGTGTTTATCCGAATAACAAAAGAGAATACAATCATAGTTATAACAAACCTTCATCTTTTGCATCATGTAGTTGAAAGGTTTCAATAATATCTAAAAATCTAGACATATTCTTAAACTGAAATATTAAACATAGGTCGGGAGTCATTGGTTCGATTTATAATTGAGGACCAAGCTTCCGTAATAATTCGTTGCAGCAACCAATAAGTGTCACATGCATGATATTATTAGACGGAAAAGGTCCAGCATCATCAGGGGCCTCAGTGGCAAAGTGATCTTAGTAGTTTAACTACAGCATCACTATCATGTCAACACTGAGGTTTGAGTTCGAATCCGACACGTGGCTGGTGCGTTCGACTCCAATCTTATTGCCTTGGATTGTCAGTTTTCCTTCCGAATGTTGGTTGTTTTCTCCGAGCACACTCTGGTTTTCTCCACCAATAAAAACCGACCGCCACGAATTAGCGCAATATTGCTTAAAGTGGTGTTTAACACCAATCAATCAATTAATCAATCAATCCAGCATTGTCAAACTGTCATGTGTATAGTGAACATTCTCTATCACTTTTCCGCTCGGGTGAGGTTTATAGTGAAAAGATATATATAAGTTAATATAAATAAAAAGACTGTAAATAATTATATATGTTTATATCAATAAAAAGACAGTAAATAAAATGTTTGAAATTAGTACGTGAAACATTATTTAATGGATTCTGATGTAAATGATAATGATTATCAACACCTGTTAAAATATTTAGTGTGAAGAAATGTAATTAATAACCTGGCAATATTTTGAATATTCTTTTTGAATTAGTATATAATAAAATGCTCTGATCGTATCGTTGAGTATTGAAGACAGCGCGTGCAGCACGTGCAATCGTTTGAAATTCGTATAAATTAATAAATTGGTTAAGACATCAATCACTTATTAAACGGAATATTTTCATAATATTTATCATTATCATGTTTTAATCAATATTTTTTACATGATACTTAAAGATTAAGATGCTAATGAAAATGTAGATAAAGCCTAGGTTTTACGTAAATATAGGAAATGATAACAAATTTTTGAAATTTTGATCCAACATCAACACTGAACAAAAAATAAAATTGTATAAATAGCTGTTATTATACAGGCAAAGTTACAAGAAATTATGAATGATCGACTTGAAAATAATAATTATGGCTTAGTTTAAAAAAAAAGATTCCATACAGATATCACAGTGACACCGGCTGACGATTTGGTTGTTTGGATGTTTTTGTTAGATGTATAAAAACGAAGAAAAGACAGATTGGGTTGGGTTAACTTTCTTATTGTTTGCTTAACGTCCAGTGGTGAATATTTCATGTATACGAATTGGGAACGAGATATTGCATGCACTTGTTTGGGCAGTATTGCACAATGACCAGTTAAGGTAAATTCGGGTATAAGGAACAGATTGTTATCAATTAAACGTGCTTAAAAAACCTTTGAAATGACCTACTACAAATCAGATGTCTGCCCTTACTCAAGCAGCATATCCCCTTTTCAAGTATCAGTTTTAACTTCCAGTCCTTCGTAATTAAAGAACCTCTCTTGCAGATTTATAATTTATGTTCGAACTGAAAAAAAATGTCAGAAATATTTTGCGATGAATATTCAGCATACAATAATCAGCCAGGAAAAAATGTCTGAAATATTTGGTGCTCAATATCCAGCCTACAACAATCAGTCAGTAAAAATGACTGATATATTTGGCGCTGAATGTTCAGCATACAACAATCAGCCAGTAGACATGCCTGAAATATTTGGTGCTGAATGTTCAGCATACATTAGTCAGCCAGAAAATAATGACTGAAATGTTTGGCGCTGAATATTCAGCATACAAAGATCAGTCAGGAAGATTGCCTGAATTATTTGGCGCTGAATGATCAGCATACCTTAATCAGCCAGGAATGAATTTCTTAAATATTTTGTGCTGAATGTTCATCATACAACAGTTAAAAATTTGAATATTCATGTTTTATTAATCATCTTACTTTCGTTTTCTTTCGTGTTATTAGATGATTTTTTTCATCCTACACAATGTAATTTCATTTTTTTTAATTAGAGCTAGATAAAAGAAATCTAATTTTCTGCATTCAATGCGCTTCTTTAATTTAGAGTTTATTATGAGGGGCCTGATGGGGGGGGGGGTCTCATCACGATTCACGAGTTGATTTTTTTGTCAATCACGATTCACAGAAAATAAATTTCCATGATCACGGATCACGAAAATATAAAAAAAAAATAAATCTGTAGAAAAACGGATCACGATAGCGAAAATGCGCCGATCACGAAGAACGAAAATAACCCATCAGGCCCCTCTATTATCGCCACACCAATTCTAACGAATTAAAATCTT